TTTGCGACTGTGACCTCGAAGTTCAGTATGAGTACTAAAATTAATTTAAAAACCGACTATCGATGATCTTTTAAGGTAGGTTTTAAACGATTTAGCTCATATAATTTCAAATGGGTACCTACCCACTTATTAGTTTATCCAAATTAATTTCAMTAATGTAATTGCTTCATTATCGGTGAGGTAACGTTGAACAGGTAGTTTTATTATGCATCGATATTGGACTTGAGTAATTTAAATATTTCAAAACTCTTAGATTTGTATTTGTTTCAGTTGCACAGTTGATTTACCTATTACCAATGATTTTATAACATAAAATATAAATCGACATAACAAATAAAATAGAGGAATAATTATTATTATCACTAATATTCAACGTAACTTTCCCAGTATACGATGGTTCCAAATAGTTGGTTTGWGGTTAGGATAGGTTAACATTATGTTGGTTTGATCATGTTTATGTGCTTTGCCTCGGTTAAGCGATTATCAAAAGTTAGTAACATATATAATATGATCGAGTTAGACGAGTTATTCAGTATGAACACACACACACACACACACACACACACACACACACACACACACTGCACACATGTCGGAGGGAAAATGTTATATGGATATGCTTTGTTTCGTTAAGTATTTTGGCATTCCAATTTGAATACTAATAAGTAGGTAACAATATGGTTAGAAGATTTAGATTACTTTGAGGTCGTACGCTYTATGGATGCCTGTGATTTATTTGCGAAGTATAAGTTACTTTGTTCGATTATGTTGTACATGTACCTTGGCGTGTGAGTTGGTTTGCTGAGTCACCCACCCGAATTTAATATCATATTGCAGAGCAATGGAATATCGTTGATCCATATTATTATATTATATTATATGCACACAAAAAGTACATTACTATGGATGATTATTAGTTCGATAAATTACTATCGAACAACAATTTAATATTACACACTTTAAATTTATTAACATTTAATTGTTTCCTAAACGGTTAACTAAAATCTTCTTTTTTTTTAAACACACACGATTTGGTGGATAAAGGGCAAAAAGTTAAATCTGAAATCAAATTCGTAGAAAAAAAAAATGTAATATGAAATTTTTATGAATATTATATGAATTTTATTTAATTTCTATTAAAATATAATGAATTGCATTTCTCTATTTTTCGTTGTTGATATTTTGTGTTTAATTATTATAAATTTAACAACGCGTCATAAATATATGTTTAAAATTATAACATACTAGAAATTACCCACATCATACGTATTATGCCATTATCGCATCGCAACTCGTAACTATAAGTACGACGGTGAAAGTTGAATGATTATTTTATGTTCACGTATTTGAACAATTTTAAGTGCAAATCGTTCATGTTTTCCACATATTTAATTATTTCTCACTACATGACAGTCTACATAAAATAAAATATGGCTTAAAAATAATTATTATCAAATGTATTGAACTCTAAGACTCAAGTCCAAGTATTAGATACCTATAATACCTAGTATACAACTTAGAATTACTCTGAAAATTTCGTTTATAGAAATTGAGTTGTGTCATGATATAATATATGGTTTGCTAATACATATAAATKATATAAATTAATTTAATACTTTTTAAATGTTTATAATCAAACAAAAATTTTCAATGAATCGAGTAACGAAATATAATAAAATATAATATTATCGGTTGTTTAAAAAGTTTCACTTTTTATTCGTCTTCAATTTTAAATTCCAATAATGATGATAACTTCAAATATTTATTGTTTTAATCTCTAACTGCCGTTGATTATTTACAAAAAATATGTCAAACTCATCATCGTTTTCCTTTTGAATCACATCTGTGCAATCCGTCAACGAGCAATCGTCTAATGATTTTGTGTGTTGATCAGTTACAGAATAAATGACATCTGGTCCGTTTTTTGTTGCCAGAGAACCATCATCAGTATAATTATGCGTCGATTTTTTCTGCAAAATATTTTACACATAAAACAAATTATTTTGTCAATATTTTAATTTCGTTCAAATGAATTACAATTAATTTTACCTTCTCGGTTGTTCTTCTATTGTTTTTAATTTTAATTTTTTTTTTAAACAATACGCCCCCCCCTCTGAATACTCTCGAATCTGTTGTATTAAATCGCGATATCGTATACAATATTATTATCGATRTTCCACAGGCGTTTGATCGGGTGTGGCATGTACAATGTACAACTATAAAAGCTTAGTTTTTAAAATTAAAAACCTCATACCTTCTGTTTTTCTCGCTCTTTTAAATTTAGATCTTACCTCGATGATTGTCAATTCGTTGTCCAATATCTTTCGTGTCTCTACTCAGTCTACTCAGCCGCATCTACAATACAAGCCAGAATTCCCCAAGGCGTAATAACTWTACAGCTCTTCCCCTAAAAAATCTCTTTCTCTCAACAAAATGTGTACAGCAGCGATCAACCTACTTCTCCTCATTTCATTTTTGTCAACGACAAATGCTGACGATAAAGCAATTCTATCAGTTCACAAAAATCCAATAACCCTGGGCATCTACATATAATTATGTTAAATATATTGATCAATTTATCATCAAGTAACATCAATAGTTTTTCTCTCGTTTAGTGAAAYTGTAATGCCAATCTCACAAACAATGCAATGTCGCGGAATCCACTGCGATAAAAATTGACTTGAGCACATCTTCTCCACAACACAAAACATCAACTAAATTCTCATTTCCGAAAACTTATATATATTTTAGATATTTCTTAAGTTCACAATCAAAACTTTCACTGCACACCAAACTAAATCTTCACAAAACTTTGCTGAAACTGCAGTACCTACTACGGGGCCAAAATCTAAGAGTTCACAAAATAAACAATAATTAATACGAATAAATCGAACAACAATTATTGTTCGTTTAATATCAAACGCTTCCCTCCCTTCAACGTCTCGAATAAAACATTTCACACTGGTTAAAAATATTAATTTTTGTAAAATTATAGGTAAATCGCTGTTGAGTCCTATACCTGTGGTAACCGCAGCACACTCTCTGATCATATAAAATCTCGAGGCGAGAAAAATTTAAGAATGTAACTGAATCACACATATCCCAAAACACAACCTCATGCTACACTTAACTCTAACCCCACAAAAATACTAATGATCGAATTGATTGTTTGATTTAAATGGAAATATAATATATCTATTGTGTAATATAGAAGTCATGATTGATTTTATCGGGTGATTCGAAAAAATCTTCAATAAATTTCATATTTTATGTATAGGCCTATCTATAATAGTAATATAATGTCAAACTATATTCAATATAAATAGTAAATATTATAATTTCATTCATAAGTCGTAATAAGTGATTACTGTTTACCGTATAACAATCATTTTTCTTCGTTGCCATTTTCTTTTGTGGTTGATCAAGAACAATGTCTTGTCTGGTATCTGCAGCCAATGCATTAATTGATACTTTCTAAAGAAAACAATCAACAATAAAAAAAATTCTTACACGTCAGATTTAATGAATATTTGTAATACAATACATGACTGAGAAATAGTTGTCAATAATTAAAACTGTCGTAAAAAAAATTTATGATACCTATAGCCTATAGGTACTCTTAAGTTTATGATATTATACCATCTTACTTCTTGTGATGATCCATTAGATGTTATGTTAACAATGGTATAAGTGTTGTTTGTTTCCAATAAGTTAGTATTCGAATTATGATTATCCGTGATCTCCCTACACTGATTTGACGTGGACGAACTATTTATTTCTCTATTATTACTGTAAACTAAGAATACATCACAGACAAATGTATATTATGAAAAGTGTTTCCAAACATTATGAATAAATATAAATTATTTTAATCGCAAGCTATGAGTGTCATTAATGGATGATTTCTCTATACATGTTAATAAATTACTGTAATTTAAAATTATACTCTAAACACATATACTTATTATGCCAACAGGTATAGATTGTATATTTTTAACGGAGCAATTKAATTGGCTCCCCAATACAGATAGTCAATATTTTACCCTTACTAAGTACCTTTGAATTGGMTCCCAAGAATTTACTGTTGAATTGGCTCCCTACCGTTTTTTTTTTCAAAAATTTATAGTTAATTATATTAATAATTCGTAATTCGTTACACAAAATTATATTAAAAAATTAAAAAAACAGACAGTATTTTAGCAAAGTGCGTCATTATAAAATTTATACATAAAAATCAATAAGTTAAACAAAAATATTATATTAGACTATTTTTCGGGGTCTATACTTATAATAATTTTTGTATCAGATTGAGTACTATATAATATATATAAAAAGTTGAATATATTTGGATTTTACATCGTAAAAGTAAACGCCTATAATATGAGAATCCCTGGTTAAAAAATAATATTTAACAATTTAAGGAGCCAATTTAAATATACATTTTTCAGGAGCCAATTCAAGGATCGAATTTATATTTACCCAAAATTGGRAGSCAATTCAATGGTAGCCATTTTTAAATAGAGAAAAAAAAATATTTTAATCAGAGAAACCGCCAGATGATCTCATTAATTATATTGTTACCTTTAGTATGTATGTTATTCATGAAAGAACTTAAAACTTAATGATGATAATAATACGATAATTCAATTTAACTCACTATTGTTATGCATAGAAGTATTTGATTTTCCAGGAATCCAAACAAGTCGATTGTTTAATGATAATGAACTTCGATCTACATGTTTCATCTCAGAGTCTTTCCTAAAAATATATAGATTTTTTTCTTTACAATTAGATCCACGTTGATAAATATCGTAAAACAATGCTATATACCTACCTGTCCTACCTACTATTTATTTATTTATTTTTTATAAGTATTTTAGCTATTTTAACGTAAAGAATATTTACCATAAATTATACTAAACTGCCTAATTAGTTTTGACTTGTATAGAATGTTAACATAACATTACATGCCTATTTAAACTGAATTAAACTTTTTTTTGTAATTCAACAATCATGATAGTGCACATCTACAATGTATACCTGAGCTTTTGATTGAAATAATATATTTTATCACATGCATAATATGATTTAATTTAATTCAAATCATTAAATTTTTAAAATGCAATCAATAGCATCATAATATGAGTATATAAATAAGAYTGAACTGGAACAAATCACTAAATTTGTAATATTATGTTTCTAATCAGTGAAAAGCTGATTTTCAAATTACAACATGTCACTGCCATAACAATTTTATTTTTCTTGTTAGCTTTTAAACTAAATAAAACTTATGTTTTTCTAGAAAAGTGTATTAAACAGGCCTATAAAGTAAAAAATATGCACTCTACTTGATATTTTCCACTTTGAAGACATTTTATCAACTATAAATATGTTTATAATAATATAAAAGTATTGTCGATTTGCGTTTCTATATGGTGATAAACCATATTGTCTTTAAGCAAAGTCTGGTAGAGTTTAAAATCCAAAATATCTTTACCCATTCCAAAAACATATTATTTGAAATTTTRTTTTCAGACAAAAGTATATTTATACAATCTGTAATATTTATTAGGTACAATACCATAAGTGAATTTGCTGAGCTAAACTAATATAATATTACAACATGACATGACGTGTGAAGAGGGATTTCCCCGTCTTGGAAACTCTAAAACAACAACATTTTTTTTTTTTTTTTATTATTCATGGTACAGCTTCAACTGCTAAGGTTATTAGCTTGCAACAAAAATGAAAGTATAAATGATACAATAGTTTCTTAAATTAATTTTACATATAAATCATTTTTTTGTTACATAAAAATATACAATAGCTCATTAAATTAGGTTGTACATATCAATTTGTTGAAAAAATGAAATTATTTTGTTGGTATTTTCATGGGTTGGGCTGAGRGATTCGAAGTCGTCATCAGGCATTTCTAGTATTTTTCTGGTTTCTAGCATATTTTTATTAAAACAATTGCAGTCAATTTATGCCATGGTTCCCAAAATACGATATTTTCCGACAAAAACATAGGACACGATATTATAACTCATAGTACTCTATAGTATCTACGATTTCCAGTATTCGATGGTCGTGACATAATTTATTGAACTGTCGCCTATTATTAGTGTGTTCTTAATAAAAATAAAGCATTTAAGCGTGTCTGAATAGTGTGTGGATACAATGTTATGATATTTGATAATATTTATAAAATAGTACGTAAAAAAATACAAAATTGTTACGGAATAATTCGTATGTAACTACTTCGTGATTAGTAATTCTCCATCAGTTAAGACATTAACTTTTATTAAAGTTGGATAAATTTAGTTTTATAAGTATTGAAATGTTGTGTATAATAAGCTAAGAAAGGTACGGAAAATCTTTAAACCCCTTTGTTAATATATATATATATATATATATATATACATAGAATCCTAATACTAACGTTAGTTTTACAATATACATATTACACAAAATATAATATCTATCCAAAAGGTTTCTTAGTGATTCATAATAATTGTGGTTTGATTATTAATTAAAACTTATTGAAAAAAAAAAAAACTAACGGATTCAAATTCTAACTTTATATTATGTCGTATTGTACTATATATTACCTTTGAGATGAAATGAATACTTTTTTATAATCTTTTGGCGATTTTGATTTGTCGTAAGACATTTTAACAATTGTTCATACAATGTATTACACTACATATATTTAACCAACACCTATTACCTATATAGTATATTATGTTAAAGATATTTGAAAATAAATTATGATTTATATACAATTTGTTACCATAGAATTGTATTGAGATTTAAAATAATTGAATTTTTTTATTAAGGAAATAGTCAAGACGTTTATATATTATAAACTTATAATCTAAAAAAAATAAATTCAATATAGAGTACCAGTTCCTAAAATTGTGTGTAGTACGACACACTTTGTGTAATACGAAAAATTCAGTGTGTAGTACGAAATTTAAAAGTTTGTTATTCACATTAAACCTTTATAATAATATTCTATAAAATTTTAAAACAACAATATTAATACAGGATATTAGTAAGTTCTTCGACCACAAAGAATAAAAAAAAAAAAACCATAATAATTTACATACTTAATATAGGTAATTTAAGTTTATTTTTATTTATTTACTGATATTTTTTTTATTTTTTTTTTTTATGGATCAAAGTACATCAACTAGACCATTAGTAAAAGAAATTTTTTTTTGTTACATTTTTGTATTTTAAGTATACATTTTCTACATTAAATTAAATTGTACAATTCTGTTTTTTTTTTTTTTTTACTGATATTATGTTTTATTATTTCCATGCATTTTGTACACTTAAAATGAGTTTTATATAAAAAAAAATTTTTTTTCAACAAAAATTCTATTTCACAAATTTTTTTAAATAGTCTTTAAATTTGTTAAACAGAAGTTATACTTTATTTAAATAAAATTATTTATTGTAAATACATATTATTATTAATATAATAAAATTGATAGGTACTATGTATAATTTAGATTGAACTGATTTGGGTTGGGACTATGTGTGTAGTACGAAAATTTGGATATTTTAGAGACTATAGAGTACATAACGTATACATATTTTAAGAAACACAATTTTTATTTTAAATATTTTTTCATAATGTGATAAAATAATATTTAAGATATTCATATAACTACGGGCATTTCACATTATTATTTGTTTATAAGTGCTAAAGAATAAAACGTCACTAATAATATTCGAGTACTTTATTATTAGATTGTGAACATTAGACGAACATAATGTGGATGTGATAAATACATTTAGTTAATTTTATAATTGATGACTGACGAGACATTTTTATAGATGAGACTTCTTTGAACTGACATTTATCCTGCACTGCATGGGTAGTGCACAGTTCAATACCTATAGGATAGTGTACGAGGTAAAAACTCAATAATTTGTTTGAGCACTTAAAAAAAAGTAAACGTATCAATACTATAAATTTATAAGTAATTCGTAATTACTCGTTAAGTACCTTACCTACTGTTAAAGTAAATATCATGAGATAGTAGATTTTAATATTATCATCTAATATTAATTCTATGACGGTTTCTCAATTATATAATGTGTGTTGAACTGCTCGGAATGTTTCAATAAACTTAATCTGGKGTCAATTAACTTTTGAATCGCATTGAAAATAATCATGAAAAGAGTAAAAATTGCATTTCACCTATCTAATAAATGTCTTGAACAAACAAAATGCATCAATGTTTTGATGATAAATGAATCAAATTAGGCCATATTATGTGCTTAAATAAAATACATTTATGTATCGAGTACTCTCGTTTTGGAGCATATATGCTATAATCTATAGATTCACACACACAGTGACTTGTCTTGAATCGGTTTGGTCATAACCCCTCGCAATGCTATTAAAATTAAAAAAAAAAAAACAATTAATTGATAAAATAAATCGAATAATTTGAAATATGAAAAATGCTATTATAGTCGGTGACACGAAAACTTCTGGCGTGGTGCGATAAACTTTGACGACTAATGTGCAGTTAGGTGAATAGATATTTTTGGTTTTACCTCATAACCTGCACCGAAAAAAAAACTTAATATGAAAATTTAGGTCGTTCAGAAGAAGCATCACTGAATATAATAAAATAGTACGTTTTGACATTAAACTTAATATTTCAATAATTATTAATTAATTGTACTGTATAGGTAAAAATATAAGATTTGATATTATTTTATTCAAATTATTTTATTTTTTATCTACGCACCGTACAAATAGTAATTAAGTGATTCAAGCAGTTCAAAGTAGCCAAACTAATAAAATAATATATATATATATATATATTAGGTAGGTATTAAATATAATAATATGATTTTTTTTCTAAATAATAAACAATAATATAATCATATAGGTACGTGTATGGTTACCGACGTCAGAAATTATACATGTACGAACATAATAATGTTATACCGCGGCGGTTCCTCAGTGTTCGTTACGTAAGTTATTATCATTTAGATATTTAGATAGAGTGTATAACATTAACTATATTTACATAAATTAAAGTTGTATTAAAACGCGTTGATCGCATTCGCTACCGCCGCACACTGCAGCTGCATGGTTGGCATATATTATAATTATTTTTATTACTTATATAGGTGCCTACAGGTATTATGCATATTATCATTATTATTATTATTATTTAACTCGACATGAACAATAGTTTTGTTATTGCCCCAATAATAGCCAAAGTCTTGCGCACTGTGTCCTTATAGACGTATCTATCATAATGTGTGGAGGTACCTAATTCAGAGTATTTGTAATGATTTTTAGTATTGAATATTGAATTCATAGACTAAAGATTTACGAAAAACGTTGACTGTAGTCCAGTAAAGGCATCTACGTCGAAACGATTTATGGAGAAAAAGCTCAAAAATCTTAAGCCATTTTTAACGGAATRACCCCAYTGGCGAGACTATAAATATATAGAAAATTTTAGGCCAAAAGATAAATATGAAAAAAATTCTTATTACAAAATAAGTTTTTATCTAAATTTTAAATGCTATTGTTGTAAGTCGGCGTGTTATCCAATCAGTATTGGGTGAGGCTATAGCCAGACTGGCTTGGACCGTAGTTTCGCACTATATATGTTACAAACGACGAGGAAGTGCTCGAATGATTTTTTTATTCGTCGTCAAAACACAATAATTGTACATATACGCGTATATCGTGGCCAGAGTCATCTAAAAGAGGAGGGCCAATCAAAAATAACTTTATGAAAATCAAATATACAATATTGTTTGCACTAAAGATAATTTTTACATCATTATTAAAACACATTACCAGATGATGTTTAATATTAAATAATACAATATTTATTGAATAATTAATATACTGTTGAAATAATTAACTTTTTTTTAATTATCTACATACATTTATCACAGACAACTTACATAATATTATATTTATGAGGTATACTGACAATAATATAGTATATATAATTAATGTGCCCGACCGTGAAAGTCCAATAGGTAATTTATAACTTTCATCGTTATAGAAGATTTTTTTTTTATCATAAAAGCTGTCAATATTTCTTTTTTTACATTGTAAATATTCATTAAGAACACGGCTTATGGGGGGAGGGGAGAGGGGAATGGCCATTTGGGCTAACCCTTTGTTTCGCAACTTGTTTATAGAAATTAGAAAATTTTTAAATTCGATTTTGAAACGCGACAGATCAATCGAGCTAACCTACCATCACTTGGGTATGTGATCGGGTAGCTGTCGTACATAAACTTATTATAAATTTTAATATCCTATAACCTACTTAAGTAGTACACTACGAGATACATGATGTATACAGTGGCGTGGCGAACTACTATTTGACCAGGGGCCAAATACAAAATAGCAATTTACCCACCCACCTAAAATTAATATTTACACAAAATTCAAATGCAGAGGATAATCTTATATTAATTATTTAAAAAAAAAAATTGTATACATGTATAGTATTAAATATTTTATCAACCCACAAACCCTCCAACCATCCCATCTAATAACCAACTAGGCCAAGGCCCATGGAAACCTCCTCACCACACCACTGCATTTATATACGYACCAAAGTACGTTAAATCCGTTTTCAGTACGCAGCTGTACTTTGGTACTGTGAACTAATGATATCTGTATTTAGTATTCCCGACTAGCTATATCGCAGTRGTTCTTAACCCGCTTTCCGTGGACTGCTCGGCCAAAATTTTAAAATCAGTAAAATTGTGTGATTTTTTTATTCACTACTGTTTTATTATTATTATTATTATTTTTTTTTTTTTAGGGTACCTAGCCCAATAAGTGCTGCCATGTAAACTGTTTTAGGCTGTACATGATGCATATATATACTTTAATATATTGTAAAATTTAAAAACGGATATGATTATTAATATCGTTTTATTTTACGGTTGTGCTTCGCGAAAATCGTATAAAACGTTAAGTGTTCCCCGTCGATTCGAAAAAGGTTAAGAGGACGTCATCGTGTGCAGTTCAATACATACGTTTTCTCTCTCGGTCTCGTAGATAACACTGCACTTTCACCCAAAACCATTTTTTTTTTTTATGAATTTTGAATGACCTAAGAGTAAAATTACCTATTACAAAAATGATGGACCATAATATTTTTGAGGGTATGACATATAATACCTATCGGTTTAATATTTTAATTTTATTTGACTTGTTGGCGAATTCGCRAATTTTGAAATAAAAATAAAAATTTTAAATATTTAAATGATTTATATAACGATAGTTTTGAGACGATATTTTGACAAGTAGTGATATGTCATTCCCTCGAAAATATTATTCTATATCGATTTTGCAATGCGGGCTTAAGCTGAGATTATTCACAAAAAAAAACAAACAAATAAATGGATTTTGTCTATGTATTGCGTGTCGGTCATCGGTCAGAGAGAGAGAGAGAGTGAGAGAGAGAAAAACAGAGCTCTGACATCCTCTTAAAATTACCATATCGCTGAGGTGTTGCAAGAAGTTATGGCAAAATTTCTTTTTCAATCGTATTGACTAAACTCTTTTACGCCATTAMAGTAAAACACCAACTGAATCGATCAATTCTGAAGTGTGATGAATATTTAAGTTTAACGTTTTTATTGCCTGCATGTTAACAATATTATCATTAATGCCTATACGTGAAATGTATTTATTTGTTTTCGTTTTTATTTAAATAAATAASCCTCGGCCATTGGCATACAAGGAATGTGAGCTGGTGAACAATTTTTAAGGCCATACAGTATTTATTTACTTATTATTATTATAAATACAAGAACCGATTAAAAACTTTTTATGAGATTGGTTTTAATTAAAATGGTCATCATGTGACTTACGGCATCTGGATGGAGAGCTTCCGACATGATATTTGATACATCATCGGCTTCTCGTTATATTTTGTCCGTTTCGCATAGAAGTACGGCATTCGGATACAATCGATCGTTTGATCGATATATTTTTCACGTTCCAACCAAGTACTTATACGTATTTTCAAACATTTTCAATTTAAATTTTAGTATTTTGAAAAGCTTATTGTAATATTGTTGTTATGTCATGTCCAGGGCAGAGGACTTGTAGCTCTAAAAAAATCGATTAGATGCAAGCAAATTTGGGATACGCAACGAAAAAAAAATGTTTAGCGTTAAAAATACATAAATAATAATTAGGTATTACAATTGCCTATACATAATTCAATTATAATTTATAGATGTTTAATAACATGGCCGTCGTAGCCATATAAATAATACACAGTTTAGTCTTGATGAAACTTTTATAAAATAAATCACAAACAGAACGCGAAGAAGGCACACCGAATGTGAATAATATATTACTATTACGACGGCGCGTTTTCTTAGTCTATGTGACCACTGACCACTGACCGTGTAATGTGTAGCTCAGTCGTTATTTTGTGCCATGACAATTGTTTATTTATAAATAAAATTAATAAACGGAAAATTAATCTAACAGGCCAAGCGCTTCCAGGAAACACGTAGGTAATAGAATATAAATATATAATATTATTATTATGTTGAAAATAAAAATAAATTCAACTCAAACAAAAATTATAAGATTTAAATTTATTGATAAARGTCGACACACACGCTACAGCGGTGGCGGTAAAATTATTTTGTCTCGGTGGTAAAATAATTGTGTCCGACTACATTTTGTTGTAACCGTTATAGTGTTACCGCCATCACCTCTGCAGTTTGTGGGGACTGCAGGGGCTCTCAATAGTTTAAAAATTATTATATTTGTGTTTATAAATTTTTTATTTTTGTACGATTTAATTACACTATTGTCTAATTATGTCAAATTATTACATAAKTAATTAAAATATGAATATCAAAAAGTAAAAAAAATGAAAATAATATGACTATTAAGAGCAACAAAACAACCTCCTAAAAGTATGCATTTATACGCAGAATAAAATTACTTAACTAGTTTTTATTTTAACACGAAACGTGTTTATAATACGTATAGATTAGGTACCCTCGTATTTTTGCGATAATTTTAAAACAAATATTATGCAAATGCTACAGGTCATGTCTGTTTGTCTTTCTAATATTTTTATTATTATTATTGTATTGATTATTCAATTCTTGTCCGCTTTTTCTTATTTTATAATCAATTTGTTCACAAGTGCTATATAACTCTCGACCACCGCCTGTGCTTAACGGCGATAGATATATTTATGTTTTTTAATCTAAAAAAAATTATGTATTGAAATCGTGAAATATTCTTCGCCGAATTTCCGTCCGTCGAACGAATATTATTTAAATATTATTACAATCGATTAAAAAAGGTCCTAGCGCGAAAACGCTTAA